GTTTTTTTTTCCCCCCCCCCCCCCCCCAGTGGAACAATGGTAACTTTACAAAGCCAAATCAGGTGTTCTATTTACCGCAGTGGGCACAAAAGATAGCCCAACGTGTTTTTGCTGCTTTAAAACAAACTAATAAATTGGTTTCATTAAATCAAAAACAAATTTCTGATATAATTTTACAACTCTTTTTTTTTTTTAACACGAACTGCAAGTTCGTTCCAAGAAAATTATTTTAAACTCGAGATTGTTTTGGTTTGGTTTTGAATTTCGCGCAAAACTACACGAGGGCTATCTGCGCTAGCCGTCGCTAATTTAGCTAGAGAAAAACTAGAGGATGGCAGCTAGTTATCACCACCCACCGCCAACTCATGGGCTACTCTTTTACCGGACGGACAATCCCACTATTCATTGGTAAAAGAGTAGCCTAAAAGTTGGTGGTGGATGGTATTGACTATCTGCCTTCCCTTTAGCTTATCACTGCTAAATTAGGGAAGGCTAACACAGATAGTCCTCGAGTATCTTTGCGCGAAATAAAAACAACAACAAACAAACCCTCTGCTTCAGTACCTCGTTTCACACTTTAGGGGCGTGGGTGCGCTATTTAAGGGGGACTATCAAATCCCACTATTCGATCAGACAAGAGCTAGTGGTGGGTGCTGTTGGCTAGATAGGTGCTCTCTCTCTAGTCTATTAGTCATAGATTAGGGTTAACTATACGTAGATAGCCCTTGTACAGTAGCTATGCGTGAAAAAGAAAAATTTATATCTTACAAAATGTCACGAAGAATTGAAAATCCTTCAAAGCCAGGTGGTCTAACGACCGGAAATATTATCAAAGAACAAACGCCTGACATTCTGAATTTGAAATGTTGACGCACTGTGCCGTCCGAGAATGAATAAATTCACGATTGTTTAGTAAGATTAATGCTGCGGAAAACTATAAAAGTTGGATTGTGATTGTTGGAGTCACGAGTTTAACTGCAGAGACAAAAAAACTGTAAGGTTGGATCGATTCAGTTAAACTCGTGACTCCAACCAGAGACGAAAAAACTATAGGGGTTGGATCGATTGGTCCTCACAACAAGGCATTGATCATTTTATTTTGACTCTTATTGAAATAAGAGATAGTTTAATTACCTGTCCTCCATTGACTCAGTGGTAACTTTGAAGGTCTATTATACTAAAAACCGGGTTTCGATACCCGCGAAAGGTACATCGCAGATAGCCCAATGGGTATCTTTAATTACCACACGTATTGTTACGGTGTCCTTGAGATTATAGGTCTTAATAGCTTGTGTTGAATTTCACGTAAAGCAACTGGAGGATCACCTGAGCTAAATAAAAGGGAAGACAGCTAGTCAGCGCCATCTACCGCCTACTCTTGGACTACTCCTTACCGACGAATAGTGGAGATGACCGGTATATATTATAACGCTTTCGTAGCTAAAAATGCGAGCAGGCACGGTGACTGGTTGTAATTTGTAACATATTCTATGTAGAGGGTATTTTGGCATTATTCTAACCAAACATCAAAGCAGACTTTGTCCAATCAAAAACTTTGTAACTTACTATATTTTTTGTTTTGTTTTGTTTGTTTGTAATTAAGCACAAAGCTTAAAATGGGCTCTGGCCATCACCGGTTTCTAGCGTAGGAAGTCCGCAGACTTACCGCTGTGCCACTGGAGGGGGAGGGGGGCTTACTATAATTAGCGCTTAATAAAACTGAATGGTATGTTTTCACATACAAGTGGGAATGTGAAGAAGCTTACTAAACACTAATTCTATGAAATCTTGTGTTTGTTCTTAAGCATCGAACCCCGAATTTTAGCATTATCTCAGAACTGAGCCACCGCAAGGTTCTGAGATTTATTATAACAGATATAATAAAAGTACGTGAAATAAAATGTCTACATTTTGTACATTCAGACATTAAAGATTTTTACTGTTGGCTCTGAAAAAAAAAAGTCGAAAGTGTGAAATTAAATTATTTAAAACCGGAAGAAAGATAAATGCCACATACTTTCTCATCAAAATTAATTGAAGCCCAAACTTAATAATACCATGTTTTTCAGCATTGTTAAACTCTTTATGCTGAATAATATATATATATATATACATATATATCCTGATTCTGTCGCTTTTCTGGATAAAGATATTTAGACATTATACCTACTGTATAAGTCCACCACCAGGCGGCGCCAATGCAGCAAAAATTGTCTTTATAAAACCATTCAATTTCAACTGTTTGTTTTCATGAGGTTTTTTTTTCTAGTTAACAAGAAATCCTGTATTCTTTTTGTAAAATAAGTATATATTATAACTAAAATTCATCCGTATCTTTTGAATGACAAATTTTACAATATTAAATTTATTAGTTTATAATAAGTTAGACAACTCGCGCAATATCTAGTTTCACACTATATTTCCAAGCTATCTCAGCTATTCGATGCTAAGAAGTTAATCTTAATGGAGCTTTAATTGATAAATTTGTTTGGTGTATTTTTATTTCAAAACATTTTAAAACTTTTTTATTGTTTCTTGATTAAGATGTTATTCACTCTGCGGTGATCTATTGTGATATATCTTACATAGAAATCAACTAAATAATAACTTAAGTAA